ACCATCTGAAAATTATCGTTATCTTCGAACAATCATAAAAGCCAAAATTTCTTCACAAAATTATCACAATTAGAAAAAAAAACAAACAAAAGTTATCTTCAATTTTTCAAAATCATATTCTCTTATTCTTACTTCTCAGAAATAATCATCCAAAAATCAACCAATCAGAATACTTGAAGTTGTCACACTTTTTTGCCGCTACTGTTTTTATTGACTTTAAATTGACCCAGAACTAAAACTCAAACTTTGAGGCATCCAAGTCAAAATAATAAACAATACCTCATATTTGACAACAAAAATAAATATCATACAATTAGTTACACTCAATACACAAATCAACAATTTTGAACCTAATCAGACCCCATAAACCCCTAACAAAAAATAAGTAAACTAGCCTAAAGCTGAAAAATCATAAGATTACAGCCTAAAAAATCTAACCCGCAAAAACCCATAATCATCCAAAAAAAACAAGAATTAGCGAGCTATATCAAAACGTCCAGATTTTCATTCACTAAAACTTCTCCATACACAGCCTATTTGTCAAAAGTCAATGAACAGTCTGATACAATTCTTTAAAAAAAATTCGGAAATTGCTCAATTTAGAGTCAGTTGTTCGAATTTTGAAAAACGCTTCTTGCAAACTTCATAATTTTTTCACTAATAAATTAAAGCTGTTGCACTTTATTGAAGCGATGCTTTAGAGTTTACAATAATCATAAACAAACTTTTCGTTTTCCCAGACAGTTGACAACCTAACCAGGTACAATAATCAAAAATTTTTCTTCCAAACTATTAAAAATCTTCTCAACAAAACAGACCTCCTGATATTTTTTGTAAATTTCCTAACAGTAAAAGCTTCCCACATGTTGACCATCTATACATGTTTTAAGAAAGCTTTAATTGCATTGATCCTAGTAATTATTTCAACTTATCATTTTTGTTGAAAACTACTACCAAGAACATTCATTTTAAAACTTCGTCGAAAACTTCTAAAAAGAAATATCAAAGATGCTGATCCAACCCCTAAAACAGATTCCCCATCTAGCAACCTATCCCAACATCCGAACTAAAACCTCCGTACAACTCCTACTATCTCAATTCAATCAACTCAGTATCTAATGTCTACTAGTATAATATACGTAGAAAACCCATATACCTTTGAAGATAGACAAGCACCCTTAATACAACCATTAACACCAGCTCATCACGACACTCCCTTAAGTGAACCATAGTACAAACCATCCTATAATATCCACCCAACATTACCATTAGGTCTGAATAGAACAAGATAACATAATCCAAACCGAAACCCGAATAATCAAATTGATCGACAAATAATTCATACATGACGAAACAAGAATTTGACAACACCACAAGTTAAATTCAACATACCCTCATCTTCTACATCACCCCCTTTAATCTCTCAAGCAATACACTACAAAATGCACCTTCGCCAGTAAATTTCAATTCACAGCAAAACACACCGATTTTTTCATCAGAATAGTTAGGTTCAACACCTACTTTTGAAAAAATCAAAGAAAACCGTTTAATCCCCCAACCTCTCTACAAGAGCTCCCACTTTGAAAGAACTTTTTTTTTCCAAGTTGATTCAAACCTCGCCGACAATCAAATCGATAGTTCTTCAGAAACAACGTCATAAATTCTACCAGAAACAAATTTCCTACCATCAACACCTTCCATAACAAGTATATCATCTTTAAATATTTTCCCAATAGACCTTCAACGTCATCAAAATAATAGATTTCAATAACTACAAAAAAGCACGACGACTATGTTGAAACACTTCCGCAGCAGCACCTCCTTTTTTGATTATTTTTTAGATATCAGCCGCCGACACAATTGGGCACTAAATTGACTACAGTTCAGACACGATACACTTAAGATATCCAAGATCATAACATCAAAAACTATCTCAGCAGAAATTATAAAAAAAATTTGAAATAGTATTGAAAATTAAATAAACTCACCAATCACCCACTACCACTATCTCAATGTGACATCCTTGCCTCGTCCATTGATTTATTTGCACAGATTTAATTTACAAATACGATAGATTTACAAAAAAGACCATAAATTATACGTCATTTCGTATTCTACTTTCAGAAATATCATACACATTATCTATTAAAATTTTTTTATTAATTAACTCCCTTTACCTCTAATCACATCAGGAACCAAGTAATCACATACACTGGTATTCACTGGAACCACGAAATCAGAAACACCTGTATTCACAAACAGGACCACAGATTTTTTTAGTAAGTCACTTTGATTGCGAAAACATTCAACAAAAAACACTACAACAAGTTACCCAAGGCGAATCAGCACCCCAAGCACACGAAAAAACTTAAGTATTTGCAACCTTTTACTCAAAAACGCGCGCTATAAATCTAACAGGTTATAGGTACACAGGTAATTTTTCTGTAGTAAAATTGAACGATTCTTACATCTTGATCCCGAAGACTGTAAAAAGTAACTAAACGTTGAAAGTTAGTGAAACAAAAAGACATCACTCGAACACTAGTAAATTTTCAAGTTTCCCAGGTTCAGCACATCAACATCAACTTGAACAACATCAAAGCCATATACAACTAGATGAAAAATTTCCCTACCACAGTGCACACGAACAATTAACTTACAATCTTCATGATAATTATCGGATACCCCGCCAATTAATTGACCACTCCATTTGTAAAGCTAGCAGAAAGGACTCAGGATACCAAAAAGTAATTTTCTTTGAATGGAAATCAAAGCCTGAACAAATTCAACTTACACGCCATTTAAAAGGTGATACTAGATTAAATCAAGGATTCGGCTTATCGTGTTAAATTGATCAAGGATATTGCGATCCCACCGCCCGCAACAAGGCAACCAATGTTTGGTTTCCTGAAAACACATGTGCTACCTTTCAATTTGCTAAAATCTAGATAGGATTAAGTTCTACAAAAATTTTTTATCGAATCTATACCTTTTGAACGAGTCAATTTTATTGGAACGAAATAAGCTGAAAATCCCTATAGAAATATACAAAGTGTTGAAAAAAGTTTTCAAGTACATACGGAAACTGAATTAGCATGCAAATTTTGTAAACCACTATTTAGAACTCAATACTCTGAATTACTAGTTGAATATAAAAAAGTTTTTGTTAGGAAAACAGGAAAACTCATAATCCACTAAAAAACTACAAAACAAAACAGAAACGATGAAAAGTCTTACATACCAGTCACACTACAAAGAAATAATGGACGAGTTGATGGAAAACTCCTACTAAGAAATCGTGACAGTACACGCCTACAAGAAGTGCCACTAATGAACAACACATTCTGTGGAGCAATCTATTATGGCACCCATTTCGACATGAAATTTGACTTCACCTTTCGTCGAATTTTTCAAGAAATGTCACCATGAGAGCTTGAAACACTCTATCACTTATGTGAACTAGAAGGAACACAAACATTACAATCACTCGCATTAGCTGTATAAAAAATACCATAAACAGGATACCTACTCTCAGGCATACGCTCACGTTTTATTGATTACGAAGGAAACATCCTTTACTATTATACCTTCACTAAAAATCATCGCTATGTGTTTTCGAAGACAAAAAATAATACCAAAGGATACCTTTATTTTTCAAAAACAAAATTCAATTTGTAGAAACACTATCACGACGTACATATCTTTGGGAGACTATGGCTATCAATTTTTTTGTTTATTCACGTAATTTAATCGCATTTTTGAAGAAAAAATTTGATTTTTTTTTACTTATACAACTTGGTGGACACATACTGTACTTATTGCACAACAGTTGGCTAACCTAGCTATTATTAAGTTCTTGAGGTTATAATAGGGCAGCAATCTTTTTTAGTTTAAAGTTTTCGGTTTTTAGAAGAACAGCTTACATGCATATTTTTACTGTGCCTTGATTTTTTCAAAATCTTTTTAATTATCTCTGACAAAATCAAAAACAGTGTTTTCTATTTTTTTTTCACAAGAGGTACTTTTTATAGCTGGTAACGCATCACCTGGATTAATCATCTTGCCTCAATTTAAATTGGAAGTTTTTCTGAGGCGAATCAGTTTGATGCGTAAGCTACGCGCTGCTAGAGTTAGGAAATTTTGCAGGCGTTAATGATCCAAAATTAGCCCAACAAGCAATTTTCAATCTTGAAAACCCCTAGTGTACAAAAAACAAGAAGCTTATAATATCTTAAAATGACGTGAACAAAATATCGTTTAAAAACCGTCAAGGAACACCCTACTCAGGGTTTTAAACTCTCGACTAACCCTAAAAGATTTATTTCGGGTGGTCAAGAGGTTATATTTCGGGTCGTTCTCCGTTTCTATTGTATATGTCATCGGTTGGTTGACCCTCCCTTAATCTTTTCTGACGGAGTCTACTACGCTAAAAATTGGGTGGTGCACGCCAAAAAAAAACAAGATTCTAAAAATTGAGAGTCTGTGGGCGCCAAGAAGATCACATAGAAAAAAGGGCCGAAAAAAATTAGTTTGATAGATTTTACTGTATTTGAGGGGTTTGATGATTTGATGGTGATGGGAAAAATGATTTAGCCGAAAAAGACACAAATTGACTGAAAATTCGTGTAATATCACCCTTCGCATCGAATCCAAGGCCCAAAACATAAAAGCTCTATTCAGCTCTCAAAACAATTTGGACAATTTTTATAGACGAAATGAGCCCCAAATCTCCTAAATGTAAAAAAACGCATGAAATTTTTTCTCCAATGTCAATATAAAACGCATTTTAAAATTAGCATGATAAAGATAATTTAATGCCAGCAGCCAGGAAAGGTCTGGTAAATCTTATTCACTTGAAAATCAGTTTATAGCTTTCATTGTTAGCTAAGACAGACAAAGTTTGCAAAAAATACGACCAGGCTTGTGAAAGCGTAGTAGCCATAAATCAAACCTTAGTTCGTCCATTATTCTTATTGGTTAAACACGTCCATTTTTTTCAGATTTGAAAGAGATCTCATCCAAAAAAGAGAAGCCAAACAAACTGACAATAGTCGGAGTCATTCTATCGTACCAAATCCAGCTTGCAACTTACCCTAACGTAATCGTTTCAATGACACTGGGACTATTCCGAGTGTTTCTCACACCAATGTTGACAGAGGTAAGGCACGGCGCTTAAGAAGTCGAAAAGTTTTAGTGGAGAAACTAATATAAATTTGGTGTCAAATTAACGTTTTTACACGCTTAAAGTACTCAAAAATTTTAGGTTTCTTCAGCTTTTTAACTTCAGCTTAACATATATTTTATCGAGAAACCTCGGTAAGATACGTTCTCTGTATACTACAAAAGTCTGCCTGTGTTATCTTTCAGGTAGTGAAGGTTGCAGAGAAAAAAATCTGGTGCTTCTTCGTACCCGCTCCAGCTATGGCACTAGTTCTCAGCCCTGTAGTTGGAATTCTAATCACGTGGAAATACAAATGGACCATTTTTCTTCTGTCTCCCATCGTTGGAAGTATTGGCAGTTTCCTCTTCTGTATTGTGACATTTAACTTGTTTCTAGATGGGACGGCTGCTCAACTAGTAATGGTTGCAGGTGACATTCGAAAAGCACACAGTTTAGAAACTTTAGAGCTCTCCTGATACCCCCAAAATGACCATATTTGGCAAACTATTTTAGGCTACGGCCAGATTTTCTGGAATGTTGCTGGAATGTTTTGACCAAATAATCTCCTCAAAATTATTTTATATCGTTTTGTGCAGAAATAGATGCCGTAAAATAATACAAAGGGAGGCCCTTTTAAAAAATTCGGCTGCCTAAAATGGAAAAGGTCGCCCCACCCCCACCTAACACTTCCGGCGCACTAAAACTCAAGTTCTCTTTTTGCATTTTTGGTGAGCAAATACACAAAATAATTGGGTTTGCCAAAACGGCAAAATTTTGTTACAAAGATTTATCTTAATTGATGAAATTAACTGTTTGCTATTTTTGACACATCAGGATTGGTTTGTTTCGGGTTCAGTTTCAGCGCAAGCTGGGTTGTCAGTTGTGTCATAAGCGACGAAATTTTCGAAGCCTTCTCTCCGAACGACGCGAAAAAAGAATACAGAATTCTAATGTCAACCTGGAATAGCAACATTTGCTACATGGGGGGACGATGTATTGGAAACGCACTGGTCGGGGGAGTACTCTTTGATCTGACTGGATTCAAAGGGGTCATTTTGATCCAATTATTTTTGTATCTTTCATCGGTCTTAGCCGCTCTATCGACTTACTACCAGTTTCGAAAGAAGACTAAAGCCAGCAGAGTACTTGTTTCAGTGACACCTGGTGGCAATACACAACTTTAAGTTTCGAACTGCATTGACCACTCAGAAAAATAGTAAATGCCAAATTGGGTGCATTTTTTACCAGACCGACCTTTCACCAGACCACAATGCAATAATTTCATTGAAATAAGTTTAAATTAGTAGAAGTTTTCAAAAGGAATTATTTGCAAAACTTTCGGTAAATAATTGTCTTTAACCAAACTAAACGGCAAAAATACATCTGTCAATCAGTTTTGTTTATCGAGTCCTGTAAAATGGGTATTTTCTCCTGGGCGAAAGGCTCATGGGCGGCGGGCCGAAAATAAAAACAGTCGAAAGTCAGTTTTAAAATGAATCAATTTCCATTCAATGAGAAGGCTTAATTTGTTTCAATTTGCCGGCGGTCAGTGACAATTTAAAATTTTTGCATGTTTCTGCCGTTTTATATTCGGTAAAATTTAATATTAATTTTTACCTTCCTTGAGATTTTCACGCTTTTAAAATACTGAAATCTGATTGGCTGATTTTTGTTTTGACGCATTCTGTCTTTTGCCTATGGGAGATTCCACCTGGTAAAAGGTCCATGTTTCAACTTTTCTGGTAAAAGGTCGGTCTGGTAAAAAGTCAGTCCACCAAATTGTTATCAATATCGGTGACCATGAGCCGTTTTATCGGTCAAAAGCTATTGCGTTTTAGGTTTATTATTTTTTCGGGAATTGTTCTGACGTGTGGAAGTCAGTAAGAAGATGAAATTCGACGTCAAAATGAGCAGTTTTAGATTGATTAACTTCATTCAGATTCGTTGACCAAAAACATATTTTCAACATTTTGGCATTAACTATAACAAAGCTGCTCGTATCAGACCAAAGCCTTAAAAGTTCCGATTGCCTATTCATTAGTCTCGAATAATTTTTGGAAATAGAAGGATTGACAATTTATGAATTTTTGGCTGATACTATTGAAGCGTTAGTTTGTGAGTCGTTTATGGAATTAATAAGACAAATTAGCTAATTCAATTCAATTTGGAACTATTATTAGTGCGGTTAATTTGCCACCCATAAATATGCTGCGATCGATGCCCACACGCATTCAATTTTTCTAAAATTGGTCTGAGTATTAAAAAACCACCCCAGGCATATATATTCCTCACTTTTTTTGAAAATTGGATCGAAAATGGTCTATTTAAGTCAATGTTAATTACAATTGTACGTAGTTAAAAAATATATCAAATTATTTGTGGTGGCCTCACATGCATAAGGATATCGTCAACCTGGCCGAGGAGTCTAGAAGCTGCACTCGCTATGGTGAGAACGCTAAATATATAATTCCGAAAATTTCGTCAAAACCGCTGCCACTGCTGATGCAGCCAGGTCAAGAATTGCAATTAGATTATGCGAGACCACTTGAAGATCATAAGGGTAAGAAGATATACTTACTGGTTACTATTGATAAATACTCTAAGTTTCCGTCGGTTAAAGTCACGAAGTCTACTGGGGGAAAATCAACAATAAAATTTCTACGCACAAACATATACACACACGGAAAACCGGAGTAAATGAAAACGGATCAATTTTCCAGATTCAAAGGAAAAGCGATGAAAAACTTTTGTGCCGAAAACAAAATTGAACAAAAATTCTGTCTGGTGGGAGATCACCGAGGGTGTGGTCTGGTAGAAAGAACAATACATACAATTAAACGAAGACTCGGTGTCATGCTTTTAGATGAAAACGTCTTGTCAATCAAGCTTTGCCTAAGTACAATAGTTAGGGATCTAAGGTTGAATAAACAAAAAACAGTCAAACGGTCCCCATTTGAAGCACACTTCGGAAGATTATTGAAAAATGAATTTAAAATTTTAAGAGATAGATTCATCAATGAGTCTGGTCGTTTAGATAAAGTGCATCTGGAACGATCTACACTTGCAGCTTCCCAACTGAAAAGAAGAATTGATCAATCGAGAGACATTGTGAAAATCGTCAGGAAAAGGCAGAACAGCCGGGACGTAAGCCCACTGTTTCAACCTAATTCATTCGCTGCCAGAGAACGAGAACGAGCGAAAGAACTGAAACAGTTATTAGAGGCAAACGCACGATGGAACGCCACAAGGAGAGATACGTCGGCCAACAATTTGAGAAGAATAGTGGATGAGAATAGTACAAAAAATCCGGAGCTCAGAAAGGAGTTATTGTACCCATGGGAGAAAAGATTCATAGAGGACAAGCCGAACCGCGACACTGGACCCATGTCAAGCAATTTTCTCCGAAAACACGAACAAAAAAAGAGTGGCAAGGCCCTGACAATCCCGCTCAAAGGAAAATTAATTGCCGAAACACCATCGACCGTGGAAACAGCTGCAGGTGCAGTATACATAAAAATAGACATAGCTAAGTCGAAAGTATCTGTAGCACCTGCAGTGAAAGGATCAGATCAGAAAAGGAGCCCAACGGGGGAGGAACCGAGAAGTAAGCTGCAGAAAACAGCAAGAGAAGATGAAGAGGTGGAAAGTGAGTCAAATGACGAGGACGCTAACCCAAATCAGCGGGAGTACCGTACGGTTCTGAATGAAGACAGCACTGCTAAAGATTTCAGAGTAGTCCAACGATAGTAACCTCAAGCGACACAGAGGCGGGGGTGGCCTGAATTTGGCCGTCAAAAAGGCAAAGCCGAACAATGCAGGACCTCCATCGCACAATAAAAAAGGCGGTGTAGCCAAGCTCACAGCGCAAGAGAAAAATAAAAGCTGCAAAAGCAGTAAACACGGAATCGAAGGATGACAAAGCCGACAAAGATACACCAAAATCGTCGACTCCAAAGAAAACCGCGGACGGTACTAAACGCATCACTAGGCAAACAAACGAGAAAAAAATCTTGGATACGTTCCAGAATAAAGATATGACACCGGGAGAATGGGATGAATTAGCGGAACAAGTGATGACTAGAGGTGTCCAGAAAGAAGCGGAACAAATCCTCACAATAAAGGCGGATACGATCGTTGAGTTTCCTCCACCAGGTTTCTCGGATAATTCGGATCAGGAGGAAGATCAAACTGTAGTGGGGTGAAGTGGCCGACAGATAAAAAATTAGGGGCCGAATCGGTACGGAAGCCCAGTGTCACACTCAGTAAAGCTAAATTGTTGTGAGGATGATATTTTTGATTTGAACATGGCAGCTCTCGAAGCATACCGGACAAGATTGGCGATTTTCGAAACGGATACCGGAAAAACGACAGAATCAAAATCTGGATTATTGAAACGCCATTATTTAAACGAAGATTCGGTCAAGCGTCGCTGGACATTTCCAAATCATGGAATGCCGCGCGGAAATTTCCGTTGCAGTTCGAGTCAGAAAAGAAACAAAGAGAGAAGAAACGAGCAAACCTAAAACAAAACATTAAACTGTGCATTAAAACTCATATTGTATTTAAAATTTTATATGGTACTATATAAAATTTTATTGCCTTCGGGGGAATGTGGTACTGTGTAGTACTGCTGCCACAGTAACCTTGGAAAGGTAGATTATTATTGTTTGTTTTTGTTGCTATTATGTACTCGAGGCTATTCTAGCAGGCCTACCTAAACGGTCACTTGAGTGTTCACTTATCTGTCAGAGAGTGAACAACTAGACCTCTGTATAAAAGAGTAACAGCAATGAGTCTAAGCTAAAGATATCAGTCTTTCTGATTTCATTTACTTATCAAGGACAAAGTATTAGTTATCACAAGTTTTGAAAAGACAACTTTAATTTCTTCTGCGAAAATAAAATTAATTTCGCCAACGAACCCTGGCCAGCTTTTATGCTAAATGATATTTTTTTGAATGAATCATTATATATTTCTCAGCAGATTGAGACGACTGAAAACTGCGTACCAGGGAACTGGTAAAATGACAGGGAAGTTGACAAGACGAACATTGACCATATGCTAATTTTTGAAAGCGTGCTCCGCTTCATTTCGCTTCCAGGGACTTCATAAACAGAATATGATCCATGAGATCTGACTGCTCTTTCTCGAGATGTCTACCAATGCAAGCGAAAACACGTATACTTTGTAATTTGGTTTCCGTCCTTTAACGCCCAATTTGATCCTTATTAACTTGCCTAAAGTTTATCAATTTTTTGAGCCAATTTGTTGCGTCTTCGTGGGTTGAACAAAATTAGAGAAACAAATATAAGTTACTTTAACAGATCCGAATTTGATCAGCAATCTGCGAACCAAGCTCACGCAATAAAAACTTATCCCAAATTTTCGAATTTGAACTAAATTCATTTTTTCCTTCGCAGTATTTGTGATGAAATTAAATTTATTATCAGAGATAAAAATTTATGAGTTTTTGCCTCTAACCTTTAACTTTGCCTGTCAACTTTCAAATATATCTCGTAGTATATTAGTAATATTTTGGGTTCCTGATTTGCCGCCCGCTCACCCGCAATTCGGTCGCGGATTAAGGAGGTAGCCGGGAGGGGTGGACGCTCATAGGGTCCCCACTTTTCTTCTATTTGAAAACATCCATTTTAGGTTGACCGGCCCTGAATATTTTCGAAAGCGCTTTGGAGCCAATATATATTAAATTTGAGGGATGAGTCAAAGCTGTCCATTTATTGGTCGAAGTTGTCCAAAAAATCGTAGAAACTCTTTTTTTGTCCCGTTTATTTTTCAAAAACTTAATTGCGGCCCAGAATATTTTGTCCAAATCGGGTCTTTGTAGTGATTTGAGAGAGCTCGGAAAACCAATTCGGTTGACCTAAAATCAAAAAGTTCGACAAAATTTTCAAAAGTTTTCTGAAGATATGCCCCTCCCCCTCGAGAAATTTCTTAGAGCTGCCTCTGCATAGGGCACTTGCAGCATCAAATGATGCTGAAGTTTTTGTTATTATCCAGGTGTTTAATTATTTGATATATCCTTTTTTTTTCAGATTCAATTCAGAGTATGAAATGGTTAATAATGACCTAATGATTCCTCAACTGTTAAAAGATTTTTATTGCTCTCAGTTTGATAGTTTATTCAAAAAATTGCGTTTTTAAAAATGATTTCGTATTTCAGGGGCGGGTCGAGGATTTTCTCGAGGGGATTCCAAAAAACAAATAGAAAATTTTGTCGACCTTTTTTTTTAGGTCGAATAAATTTCTTTTCCGAGCTCTCCCAGAGCGCTAAAAAGACCCTGTTTTGTTTAATTTTCTACGCCGCAGGCAAAATTTTGAAAAAACGGGCAAAAAAGGCGCTTTTAAGCACTTTTTGGAAAATTTTGACCAAAAATTCACGTTTTTTCCGTGAGGCGACAATTCGTAGCAGGCGAAGATTCGAACCAGGCGACAATTCGTATCAAGCGACGATTCGGAAATTTTTGAAGGTCGACACTTAGCAGCACTTAATTTCTGATGGGGAAGGATTAAAACTAGCGTTCGAATTATTGATTGCAATTGTTAGGGGGGATTATTTTTTTGATTCTCATTTGTTATTTACATCGAAATATTGAGGTGGGGGACGGAAACCCTTAGTTATGCATTGGTTTATCAACGTTTTGAATTGATGTAATCTTGGTTATCATAAAAACAGTAATTGAAACTATTCTCAATATAAGCATGGACTTTCTCACAATGATTGTGAACATTCTTCCTCAATTGTTGTTGAAATTAAATCGCTTATCTATCAATTCGATCCATATAAACTCGTCCATCAATGCCTCTAGAATACTCCATCAGTGAACTCGCCAAGCAGCAACTTCTCCTGGAGTGAGAAAATTAATACCCAGTTCGACACAGCAATGTTACTGACCAGACTACATGGCGATGCTGTAAACTTCTTTGCAAATCGTCCGTTATAATTTTTTTGATTTTTGCACGTGCATGTACCGGATTATTAAAAAATTAAATATTAGGTTCAAATTTGGATTAAATAAAGCTTAAAAAAGCATGAATAGAGGGCGTGCACTTCAGTGGGGGCTAGAAGGATTGTTTTTTAGTGAGGATTAGAAGGATTGTTTTTTCGTGCGTTATAGTTTTTTGATTTTTGCACGTGCATGTACCGGTTTATTAAAAAGTTAAATATTTGTTTCCGTTTTGGATTAAATAAAGCTTAAACAAGCATGAATAGAGGGCGTGCACTTCAGTGGGGACTAGAAGGATTGCTTTTATCCAAAACAAAAATACTGTTAAGCAGACCTTATTTTTCTAAGCATGCCGTTATTTTTCTGGGGAGAAAAATTCGAACTTAACCCCAAATGCAAAAAAAAAACGTTTTTAAGAGTCAATTGTGCTATCAAAGAGAAATCCAAAGTCACTTTGGAACCGCTTTTGGCTATTTATGCAGATTACTGGTGACGCCTCAATGGGAACGGTGGCAAATTTCCCAAAATTTAAATCGATAGCCCGAACGGTTCAGTGACAAAAAGTCCTCTAATCAGCGCATGTTATTCTAAAAGACATTGCGATACCAATTCAGCTCACGCCCTCAGTCAGGAGAGATAAAATTCTACGGAAGAATATTTAGATGTCTTGGAGAGCAACACAACTTGACATTCTGATGGAATTTTTAAATCTCGCTCTTCTATCAAGTATTCACCATACACGCTGTAGTAAAAGAACAAAAAGTTTCAATGGTATACTTTCTTTTGACACCAAAAACAGAAGAGCGCTATCTGCGAGCTTTTGAAGAACTGGTACAATTAAACCCCTGCTTAGACCCTGCAAAATTTTCCTTGGTTTCAAAAAAAACCTCGATCAATGACTTTCATTCAGCCCTCCCATGTGCCATTATCAAAGACTGCTTTTTAACTTTTCGCGCAAGCTAATTGGAAAGATATTCAGGAGCTCAGCTTGGCTCCTTTTTATAGATCCAACTAAACACTGCGAATGAAATCATTCGTTGCGCTGGCACTTATCCCTCAAGGGAATTTGGAGCTGAGTTTCAAACACCTGAACAATCATTTGGGCAAAACCTCTCAAATCATTCCATATGTGGAATATTTTGAAAAGATATCAATTGATCCAATATCTCGCACAAAACGTCAATCAGCGTCCTTCCCTCCAGATCTCTGGAATCAGTTATGTGCGCGCGAGATCTAAAGTAAAAGACGAACAATTAGGTGGAAAGCTGGCCTCGTGATTTCCATGTGAAATTGGGCTGTACACATTCAACTATCCACAAGTTCATTGAATTTTATTCGGCGAGAACAAAGCTTAGCTGCGTATAAGCTAGTGAGAATAAGATCCGAGAGAAGGCATCAAAGACAGCGAAATACGAAAGAGCGCAGTTAAGATTGTTTGAGATATTGAAAAACTATTAGAATAATCGAATCAGTAAAATACTACAGGGACTAGCATTTAACTTTGATTTCTGATTTCTTTAATTCCTTTTACGTTAATTAAGCTTTTGATTGTTCAACATCAAACAAAACATTGATACGAATTGTCGCTTGATCTTAATCGTCATTTGTTGCGAAAAGTCGCCTTTTAAAAAATTACGAATTGCCGGCTGTTACGAATCGTTGCTTGTTACGAATTGTCGCCCAATCATTTTTTCGGCTCGCTACCCCTCAAAATTAGTATATATTGGGTCTAAAAATTTAAAGGTCCTTCACCAAAAAATGGATATCTCAAAATAGTACAAAGGGGGGACTCTTTGGTTTGGCAAGGGGTCGAATTCCTAAAGGGTGGGCGTCCGCAACCCCCTTCCCCTCTCTTTCCCCCCTAAATCCGCCACTGCCGTGTTTGACAACAAACGGCTATTAACTTGAAGTTCAATATCCATCTCAACTTCAGTGTTTTAGAAAGTTTCAGAAACAATTTTTCTTAGAAGCTTTGATTGAGTCAGCGCAACCGGTCACTGAAGGGAATTCATCGATCTATGACTAAGCACCTGTTCAATAGTAACAGTCTAGAAAAAATTAACTGCTACGGATTTAAAGACGTGACTGGCTCCCATTTTCTCCCCTTACTCGCCCGTTTTCTCTGCAAGGATTGGACCGAAATAAATATTTGGGACCTCGTCTTGCAGACGATGGTTACTTTTCCGGACTCCCTCCTCCCACCCCACGTCACATAAGTATCGATTTCATAGTGTAACGAGTGGTTTTACAAACTTGAGTATGAAGACTAAATATGTTTGTCATGGCCTAATCAGTCCGTATGCCAAATAACATTCCGACAATGTGAACAGAAAAATTACTCCAAAAAGTTTGCAGGTGGGGGGAGGCAAAAGAGCCCTTTTCCGTATGCAAATATCCAACAGTTTGATTCAACCAATCAAGAGATGTTCAGTAAAAAAAATATTCAATACACGATGCTTGAGAAATATATAATGCTCAAAAAAAATTTGAATCTTTTCGCATTTTAGCCTTGTTTTTTTTAGCTCAGCAATTACCTGCAATTATATGCAATTTTAAAAAAGAAGTCTTTTTATATCTTGACTTTCAAGTTAATTTTTGGCAACTTATCAAATGTAGTAGATAAGCAACAGTTGCATATTACATCTTTAAGTTTTGTGATTAAATCGAGACACGCAGTGTCGAGAATTGAATAAGTTTCGAGCTGCAATGAGAATTATTACATATCTGATGAGACGCACATGTGGAAAACGCGAAAAAAACTTACAACACACACTTATAAACATTTTCCGCTAACACATAGCTTTTATTTTTTTATTTCGTTTGTTGTATTGTTCTAAAAAGATATTAGTCTTCCAAATGTTGCACTAGTACTTCATATTTTGCACTAAGGTTTTAAATATTGCACTAAAATTTGAAAAAATGCACAATTGTTTCAAAATTCTTCTAATTTTGTCAAATATGGTAACAAAATACTGCACACAT